ACAACAGGTTATCTTCTACAGGGAAAATGAATCTTTGTGAAGACATATATTTGCAGGGAAAAATAAGGTTTTAATACTATGAACATATCAACAAGTTGATTTCAAAAGCACAAGTCAGCCCGTATCCCTACTCCACTGGATCCCCAGACACCCTCACAAAATATAGCTGTATATAAACCTTCAGTCTATAGTCTCATGAAGTAGGTCATAATCTGTGAAATCTCATGCTGAATTAAGCCCATTAGTCTGTAAAATGGCCAATACTTTTATTGGTATTTTGTTTTTGTTCTGAAAGTTAACCTGTGCTTTTGTCTAATGAAGTTGCTTGGACTGCAAATTTAAATGGTTGTGGGGTTTTTTTTCTCAAGCTGATTGTTATGGATCGGCTGTCACATCCCTTAAGTGCAACAACCTGCATGAATAAGTTGCTGTCACACTGCTTTCAAAATTATCCTAAGACATTTGCATGGGTAACCAGTGGGTGCAGGGGGAAAGATGAATTTTGTACTGTTTATCCTCCACCCCCCTGATTTTTTGTTTCGGCAGATGTCATCCGTTTCACAATCATCTCATTTTCTTTTAAGACTACCTTTCTTGACAGCGTTGAAAGTGAGGGGTGAAGGGAAAATGGAAAGAGGGCCGTGACAGGTTTTGAAATGTATGTTTTGACAAAATATAATGAATTATTAAAAGGCCATTGCTCAGTTCTCTGTATTTTGCAGAACAAGCCAAACATAAATTAACTGGTAAAGGAAGTATATGTAAATGTAGTCTCTTGACTAAAGTGCCAAAATGAACTTATAACATTCTCCTCTACAGCCTTCTTTACAGGCTACATTAGTTTCACTGCACTAGAAAACTAGGATATTGTTTTCATTCGCTTTCATGCAATCAAGCCTTTGCTCACAACCTGAGTTCGATCCCAAAGGATTCAGTTAGCTTGCTCAAGGTTGACTCAGCCTTCCATCCTTCTGAGGTCGGTAAGCTGAGTACCCAGTTCACTGAGGGGCAAGTTGCTGTTTGCATAATTAAGTTGTGAACTGCCCAGAGAGTACTCTAGCACTATGGGGCAATATATAAGTTGAAACAACGGCATTTCATTTGGTATCCCAGTACGGCTTGGATAGTGGTTTTTTAACAGACCTATCAAGGCTGGCTTTTACTGAGATAATTCTTAAAGGTCAATGTGGGCCCATTCCATATAAGATTGTGGTATTTAAAGAAAAAAAGAAAGAAAGAAACAGCAACATGTACAGTATATGGTTTTTCAAGTGCACATTTTTCAGATTTGTGTATGTTGTGTACATTTTAAAAATATCTTTACACTGATATTATTGATTTGTAATACTTTTCTGCTGTACGTACATTTGTAAACACTTCTTAATATAACATTGTTTAATATATACACTTGGTGCACATATTTTCCTCAGCTCAAGCTATACTGTAAAGCTCAGAAGAATGCACAATCCAAAGCACAGCTTGATCCTCACTTGTGCAAACAATTGAGAGGGAACTCCATGAAAAGGAAGAAGCAGAGGAGGAGGAGGAGGAAGAGGAAAAGGGAGGAGGGTTAGATGGCTGATTTCAAACCCACTCCTCTGGGGCTTTATAAAAACCCAGTTTAAACGTTGTCTCAGCACAACACAAGCTGGGTTTGTTTGGAACGCACTTGCTTGTCCCCTTCCTCCATCACCTTGTGCATTCCTTAGTTCTCAGCCTTTTAGTTCTCAACATATTTGTCATGCACATCTGCCCGTGTTGCAAACTAAATATTGTACTTTCACATTTAGTAATGAATTTGTGGCATTAGCACAATATCTCAGGACTGAGGAAAGGCAATCAGGAAAAATGACCACCCAAACGTGGGAGGTGGGATGGTGGCAGGAAGCAGCTAGGCCTGGTGTGAGAACGTGGACCATTACAGGCCCACTGACTCTGTAATCATCCCTGTATCATCTGTTTTTGTCTCATTATTATTATTATCATCAAAATATTTCAGTTTTAGGGATTAGCAGACCCAACTGACATATAGGTTTTTGTTAGTTTGTTATTTGGAGGAGAAGTTGCTCTAATGTATATCAGTCAAGAACGTGGAAGCAGGCCCTGTTGTAAAAAACCATGGGTGGGGCTGCTGACAAATTGGGACATTTGGGACATGTCAAAGGAGCCATGGTTTCCAAAAACTCAAGAGCAGACCCAGAAACCTCTGTCTCAGTGTGGTTGTTGAAGTCACCCAGAACCAGGAGTCTGGGGGACTTCAACAGCACTGCCAATATGAAGTCCACCAGTTCTGGAAAGGTGAGTGCTGGTTCACAGCACGGTAAACCAGTAGAATCCCGAATCCATCCCTTGCCCCCAATGACACATGGAGGGTCTCCAGGTCTGGAATGGCCAGGGCAGAACAGCCTGGCAGCCTCCAATGTGTTTTTGTAAATGATGACTACTCCCCCCCCCCGTCGTCCAATATAAGGCAGAATATGCAGTGCAGACTATAAACTGCAGCTTTTGCATGCATATTTGCATATTTCAAACCTTTGATGCATGGCCAACCAAAGCAGACTCCTTTCAAACTATTATGTGCAAGATCTAAAATTATCTACCTGTACAGTATACCTTGTGGTGCACTGGTTAAACTGTAGTACTGCAGCCAAAACTCTGCTCATGCTCCAGGTTCAATCTCAGACAGCTGGCTTGAAGTTCACTCAGCCTTCCACCCTTCTAAGGTTGCCAAACTGAGTATCCAACTTGTTGGGATGAGGGAATGTGTAGCCTGTGTAATTAAACTGAAAACCACCCAGAGAGTGGTATACTGTATAAGCAGCACATTTTTTTGTAGTACTAGTCTGTTCCTTCTTTATTTTATCAGTACAGTACAGTATTTGTATTTTCTATTACAAGAGGTAGCTAGTGAAGTTTTACAGAAGGTCAGTACAAAAATAGGAAGAACAGGATACATGCTCCACTTTTATAGAGTGACAGAATATACCAACAACAAACCATTTCTCCAAGTGTACAAACATGCTTAGCCAAAACTGCACCATCAACACAGAAAATGAAAGTATCAGCAGGCTTGGGAATGCTGTAAATTTAAAACAGTACCAAAAAAGTTCAGAGGGAAAATCCTGATTGTGTTAGGATTATTTGTATTGGCAGAGTGCAGCAAGGTACAGCTGACCCTAAGGTTATTAAAGAGAAAAGGCACGCTTGAAATTAGCATTAAGGCAAAAATGAAAAACATACTGTTTTATTTTTTAAGGAAATCAGTGTATGTATATTAGAAAACGAAGTCTGTGAACTTAGGGGGTGATTACACAGAGATCTGTCCTGCTATTTGGTCTGCTTTGAGGACGGGCTGGCTTGCTCCTTTTGCTGGAGGCCACATGATGTAAGTGCAGCCCAGCCCCAAAGCATTCCTATCCACCCCCTTCTGATGCCTTGGCAGGACCCATTCGATTTAGGTGTGGGAACAGAACCAAAGTGGGTGGCTGGGTGTGGAAGCCATTTAACAAGGCATGGGAGAGGGGGTTTTGAGTTTCTTTTTCCTCATGCATTAGAAATGCTTTGAAAGGGCCTTAAAAAAATCTCCTCAAAGACTGATGCACTGTGTTGGTGTGCAACAAATAAAAAGAAATGCAATACTTCTCCTCCCATCTTCTCCAAAGGGGAGTGGCAAGGAAGATTTAAAAGGGAAACGTCCCATTTTTCGGCATCAATAACCAGCTTCCTCCTCCATGTTCTGCCTCAGCCCTCAACCATCTTGAGGAATAGGAAGAGTCCCCTTTAAAGGAAAAAAAAACCTTGATCATGATAAAGAAGGTCAGTTGAGGTGCGGTGTGGTAGATCCTTGCACGTGGTTGCAAGGGTTGCACCAAATAATATACAGTACCACATCACAAAGCGACCCTGTTTAGCACAATCTAGACTAGACCAGGCTGGGATACTTCAGCCATCTAGTCACACCTTAGTTGCAGAAAAGGGCCCACAACAGGCTACCATATGTGCAAAGCTGGCCAGCAGCCATTATGATGAAGCCACGTGCACCTCCCATTCTCTAGCTAAGAGGAGGAGAAACAAGATAGGATCTTAAAAGGAGGAGAAGGAGGAAGGCAATCAGCCTAAGAGTACCAAGCTACATATACGTCAACAAACTATAAAGGCAAAAATATATCTGACTGTCTGTCCACCACTGGCTCAGAACACTTGCCACACACTTTGGTGCTCCATTCTACCAAGAGAGGGAACAGCTCAGTCAGGACAAGGCATACCCACGGGGCACAGAAAGTTGATGGAAATGTGGAATGGAAAAGCAATGAGGAACAGGAATTGAATGGAATGTCTTGGGTCATGACTGGCTCAAACCCTACAAGGGTCATACCTCAGCATTTTGTTGCAGGTTTCTCTTGTATAGAAGATACAGTACATTCTTGTCTGAAACAGCACATTCATTTCCTCAAAAGATCTCCAAATGAAAGCTGTATCATCATGATATCACTGCCCTGATGGACGGTGGGGTGGGTGCTCAGCCAATATGGCCTTCCCCAGTGGAGAACAGGCAGCAGAAATACAGCCAGAAAGGCTCCCAGGAACAAAGAGAGCAAGGCACAGTCCCAGAAATACTGTGCACTGGCGAGAAGCATGGCATCTTAGTCACAAGGTTTATTTATCTCCTCTTAGCCATGGGTCCATGAATTATTCGTATTTACTTCTTACCATGCAAGTCTTTCAGGGAAGGGGGTGTGTCTGAAGGTCACACTGACTGTAACGAATACCCCAGGCAGCGACTGCAAGAACACTAATTGGCACCGAAAAGGCAGGTTACTGACAGCAATCAATACGGCATCGAGAGAGTAACGTCGTGAAATGGGTGGCTTTGATTCTTTTGCAGAGAAACAGGGAATGCCCAGAGACTTCCGCCGCCCCCCTTCACATGGCGGCAACCCCCTTGAATGTTAATGACTTCTAGAGAGGGAGCCGCTCCTCAGTGCCTCAGAAGCCATGAGGCAGACCTGAAGCAAACCGTCGGCGCGCCTCAAAGGAACGACGGTCGCCGCCCGCTAATTACTTTCCAGCAGCCGGCAGGCAAGGGGGCTCCCGCGCCTTGAAAAACACTGGCAAAACCCGCGTGAGACCCGAAGCCTTGGACGGAGCCCGGGTTCTTCGCCTGGATTCGTGGTCCTTTGGAAACACGAGCGCCGGTCTGCAGAGTGAGAGCAAAACTACCTGTAACGGCGCCCGTGGCAAGCGCGCGCGCGGGGGGGCGAAGTTTCGCCCGTGGCTGGACAAAGGTACTTCTAGGGTAACAGCTGCACTTCCCCGTTACCTCTGTCGGCACCTGTGTGCCACCAATACGCCGGCGATCCAGGCTGGCTGTGGCGAGGCTGAGGGGAAGGAGTGGGTCCCCCACCCCGCCCCCTCCCGCCATGCTCGGTGGGATGAAGAGGGAACAAGCCTCGCTCCAACCTGAAAGAAGGGTGATGGTGATACGAGGCATTAACGTGCTGGTCAGCGCGGTTTGTGTACAGATCAGAAGAACTGGAGGTTTGCTTTTTTTGGTTTGGTTTATTAGGTTGTGATCAGTGGTTTAGGGACCTGACTGCGGAGCCAGAGGTTGGGAGTTCGATTCCCCACTGTGCCTCCTTGACAGGGGCTGGACTTGATGATCCATAGGGGCTCTTCCAGGTCTACAGTTCTAAGATGATGATGATCATCCTCATCTAAAAAGCGACGTGGAAAAACGTTTGCCTAGCTTCAAAACCTTGGATGTGAAATAAGTTGTGGAGGCTATATAAGGCTTCAACCCTAAGGTCCACTGAAGTCAGTAAGGCATACTTCTGAGTAAACATGTATATTAGCAGAGGTAGATAAAAATGAAAGTTGCATGCTACATATATGATGCATTTTTAAATGGTTGCTATGTTTTAAAATAGAAAAGAAATGAAATCAAATTAAGGAAAGCTGTTCACATACATTGACATATGACATACATTCTTTCTGGAGTGTACTGAAGTAATAACTAGTACTGTACTGCACTATTGAAAGACTGCAACAAAGTGCAATGCAAAATATTTCTTAAAATATTGAGTACCTTCCTGAGTACCTTTGCTCTCAGCTTAACTTTGTCCCTCCATACAGTTCCAAAATCATACTTCTGTGAGAGTCACCACCTGCATTTGTTTAAATGTTTTTACCCACCATTGGTCTCTGAGGTCTACTGTTTAACAACTGTAGAACAGCAATGCTGGAAGGGACCCTATGGATCATCAAGTCCAGCCCCTGTCAAGGTGGCCCAGTGGGGAATTGAACTCCGAACCTCTGGCTCTACAGCTAGAGCAACCATTGACCTTTGCAGCTGATTAACTCTGCTTTACAAACAACAGCTGCAGAGACAATGTGCAGATGCATGGCACACGAAGTGTTTACTCCCCTGGAACTGACTGGCCGGTGGTACATACCACGAATGTTATTGAAACAATCCAGTTCTTAATTTAGAGCCTACTTTGGAAGATCAGGTGCTGAACTTTAAACCATGTTTTTATTTTTGTCAGAGTCCTACATTATGTGTGGAATTGCTGGAGGTGGCGCACAGATGGGGGCCCACTCCCCTTGGGCAAGGCCATCAGCTGATGCTAAGAACTGCTCTATAGATGCCATTGGTACTTAGACTGAAGCAGAAGTGTCTTCTTGTTTAGCTATCTTCTTGAAAGCATTTTTAAAAGCTATGTGTGTTTCAAGATATCGGGCAACTCAAGATAGATCTGTCTTGTACAGTATTGATGGATGTCTGTGCTCAAGGCCAGAAGTCTGCTTTTAAAACAAGAGTTCATCAACACAGTGTGTGTATTAGTTGCTGGAAGTCACAGAGCTAAGTGGTAAACATTTAAAAATTAAGCCAAGGACAAGGAATATTTCACATGTCGTCTGCATATACACTTGCAGACAACATTTCCCATCCAGTGTGTTGAGGATGACCACTCGTCATTTATAACTTCAGCAAATTAATGGGGTACAATTAGCTTCAAAAAGAAGCTAATGGAAGTGGAGCTTTTGCTTAGGGTAAGACCGCAGAATAAACTTGCTCCAACCAGCAAGTTGTATACCGATTTAGTTATACTCAATGGGGCTGCTCTTAGTTTGGGCTAATTTAAACACCTTCATTTCAGTCACTTTGAGTGTATTTCAATCTGGATCCAATCCACAACAGAGGGGGTTCTGGTTGCCACTATTCTCATGGTCTCTGCAGTGGCAACTGTAAGAACCAAGTGACTGCTAAAGCTGGAATCAGACATGGTGGAGAGGAGAAAGTGCTGATTACTATGTGCTATGCTTGTATCCTGTTCAGCCATAGCAAAGTTTTATCCAAGCAACAATCCTCTGAAGTAAACTGGACTGAGAATTAGGGATTTGGCCAAAGCCAAATATAAGCCTTCCCATACCTGAACGGGTATTTGGGAAATATGAATGCCAAACTTTTCTGTGGCTGCAAATAGATGTTGTCCTTCCCATGGTCAAAACCAAAATTGTGCATGTCCGCTTTTGTAGCACTTAAGCTTGTGCAACCTCACCTAACTGAAAGACCTCAAAGCATGTTTTATAGTAGTATGCTAGTTATTTGATTTTACTGCATGGTAAAATACAGCACCCAGACTGGTGGGTTTGTTTGTTTGTTTGTTTCGGTGCCATGGCTGATTTCCATATTTTAAAATAAATTTAATGTATATAATAGTAACACACAGTTCAAAATAATCGAGGACTACTTGTAATATTTTTATTAACTTGGAAAGTTAGTATTCATTGCTCAGCAAACATAAATTAGTATTTAAATCACATTTCAATTCCGTTTTACCCTATTCCCTATTCGTTCCCTTTCAATATCTGAACCATGCATTTCCAATACTGTTAATTGTGCCTCTCCTCACCTTCTAGCATGCTTTCTATGCACTGTATGGTACACATTCTCATCCTTCTTCAATCGTCTCTCTATGAGGAGCAAAGTGGCATATAAATAAATAAATAATTTATTTATTTATTTAATTATTCAATTTTATTTAACTTATATGCCACCCACACTACCCAAAGGTCTCTGTGCCTACTGTACAGGTCTGTACAACTCAGCTACCACTTCGTAAGTCTTGGCTAGATGGGTCAATTGGAGCAGTCTGGACTGGACTAAACAGGGTTGCTTAAGTTCACATAGAAGTCTGGTATGCCACTTGGTGCAATTTTTCACATCCACATTCCTTAAGAAAAAAAAAGGGGAGGGATTGCCTTCCTTGCCCCCTCCTCCTTCTGGGAGGAATCTTTTTTTAAAAAAAGGCTTCCTCCCTCCGCACCTGCATGGATGAGCAGAGGAATTTTTAATTTCCCAATATCAATAAGTGGCTAAGCTTTATGATATTGGGAAACTGAAACCAGATGGGGAATTTAAAGCAGCAGGTTACACTTTGATTCAATCCCAGTGATTGTGCATGCTGGAAACTAGCCAAAAAAGGGAGTAAACCTAGCTGCATCTAAAAAAGAGTAGCTCCTGACAGAAAGCCAGAGGTGTTCAGGTAGGAATGCTCTGAGGAAGGATTAATTCATGTTGGCACTTACATTGTCTAGTCCCTGGCAAAAAAGAACAAACCAGCCTACCCCTACAGTGGGACAAGTGCCCATGTAGTCACCGCCCTTACTTTTTTTTCAATTGGCTCAACAAACCTTAATGGACTCTTTCTGTCCAACACCATAAAATAGTGTATTCGCAAACGCTTTCACGGCCGGGATCTAATGGTTGTTGTGGGTTTTTCGGGCTGTTTGGCTGTGTTCTGAAGGTTGTTCTTCCTAACGTTTCTCCAGTCTCTGTGGTCGGCATCTTCAGAGGACAGCACTCTGTGCTCTGCTCTTTTTGCCAGGAACTAGATACTGTAATGTAAGCGCCAACATGAATTAGTCCTTCCTCAGAGCATTCCTACCTCTGTAGATGCCGGCCACAGAGACTGGCAAAACGTTAGGAAGAACAACCGTCAGAACATGGCCAAAGAGCCCGGAAAACCCACAACAACCACCATAAAATAGCTTTTCCCAAATCAGATCTTGGTACGTGTTATGGACCACACCTTCCATAAGGCCATATCACTGCCATGTTGGCTGGGAATGATGGGAGTTGGTGTCTAGAGCATCTGGAGGCCTGCAGAGAAGCCATGCTGGATCCAGTGACGATGTTCTTAAACATCCCACCCCATGTTATTCATCCAGTAGCCTCTAGAAAAAGTATAAGCATACCTACAAGCTAAAACCTATCCCTGCTGCTTGTCGCCTGGTATTCAGAAGTATGCTACATCTGAACATATGAAATTATTTTATATTGATGATGATCTATAACTTTTCAGGGTTTCCCAGATAGAGAGTACCATTCCCTTCTTCTGGGGGGGCATCCTGAGACTGTGCAGCTTACTAGAATGTAGAGCTAAGAAGGTCCTTCTCTCCCCCCCCCCCCAAGTTTGAAAGAGCTAAAAGATTTCTCAGAGGAAGTAAAGCTTTTTGGTACTGTTTCCCAGTCCCAGCTTCTCTAGCACCTCAGAAGCTTTTGTCCCACAGACAGAACTGCTTTTTCTTTTCTTTTCTAACTATGATCCTGAAAATCCCACAGCCAGCATAGCCAATGGCCAACAGCTTATGAAAAAAAAAGAACCATTTACCATTCCTTTTTATTTATCTATTTGTCTGTTTATTTGTAGGATTTAAACATTTATATATTTATATCCTGCCTTTCCTCTGATTAACGGTTAATAACAGGAACAAAAAATAAAATAAAATAAATCCACAGCGGTTGACCTTTTTCCAACAAATTCTTTATTTAAAAAAACTCATTTTTGTCAAGGATGAGAGCAAATGGGAGTATTTGTTACATCCTTAGTAGGCAGTTTGCGAATTTATAGTGTTCACAAAGGTGAGAAAAGCTATATTTCTGTACGTTTCTGTAGCAACTAATGCACTAATGCCCATCTTCCTCTCTTGCATCCATGCTGATTCTTATATAGATTATTATCCAGTGGGTTTATGATGTCCTGCTTCTGGACAGCAGCTCCACTGGGATGTCGAGGCAATATGTTAAGAGCAATTCTGTTGGAAGGATCCAGTTACACAGACCCTGAATAGTCAGGAAATAAAATCCTACTGGTAGTATTGTTTCCAACAAAGGGTGTCCCGGCCAAGGTCAACAGTCCACAATAATTACCTGGCAGATGATGACAGTCCAAAAGGAGAAACGTGGAGTACAACAATAAATAGTCCAGGTCACTCATGGCATGTCAGTGAGGAATCCAGCAGGGTTTGGTAGGGCAAGTTCAAGCTGTGGTAAATAATTTGCTTCCAGCACTGGGCATGGGTGAAACAGGAGTTTCTGGGAAACCACTCAGGACTCAGTTGTGGCCTAGGAAGGCTTAGGTCTCTGTATAAAATAGGACTAACTGTCAGGAAGATCCTTTGTTCCTGATGAAACCGCCATTCATGTAAATTTTTCCCTTGCATTCCATCTGAGGGCCTACTGCCTAGGTTCATTTTCCTACATTCTCAGTGACTGGAGGAGGCCTGGAGTCTAATGTAAACTTGGTTCTTCCCTTCAGGAGATGCAGAGTCCTCCAGCCCAGTGGTCCCTAACCTTGGGCCTCCAGAGGTTCTTGGACTCCCACTTCCAGAAGCCTTCACCACAACCTCTGCTGGCCAGGATTTCTGGGAGTTGAAGTCCAAAAACCTCTGGAGGCCCAAGGTTGGAGACCACTGGTCCAGCCTAAAGCCCTGTGAAGTTCACGGGGTCTCCCTCAGGGGGAATTTGAAGTTATACTGCCCTTTGTCCTCATTAGAAAACTCTTCTGGTGAAGGAGTGACAAATGACATCATACAATGGGTATCACATTCCACAGCAAACAATATGCATCATCTTTTTAAGAACCTAAAGCACAATGAAAGTGCTTTCATTGTGCTTTAGTGCTATTTCCTTTGTGCTATTTTCTTTCCCATGTGGTAGCAAGAGGGTTGGGAGCTGTCAGATATTAACTTTGAATGCCACTGTTTGTGTAGCCAAAGTGGCACAATCTATTACAGAAAGGGGAAGTTATAATCAGGCTTGGGAGAAACCTCAATTTTGCAAAGGTGTGCAAAATTCTAAGGGGGAAAAAACTCAAAGTGGGAAATCACCAAAAAAGCAAAAAGTGTGGTGCTTATATACTCCCCCATAACACTAAAAGCACTTTCTGGGATGTTTACAAGTTAATTATGCAGGCTACACACTGCCCCCTCCTCCCAGCAAGCTGGGTACTCCATTTGCTAACTTTGGAAGGATGAAAGGCTGAGACAACCTTGAGCCGGCTACCTGGGATTGAATCTGAGTTTGAGCAGACGTTTAGCTGCAGTACTGCAGTTTAAGCATTGTGCCAAGAGGTTCACTGCAATGAGATCTGAATATTCTCACTGGCAGCAGAATACAGTGGTGCCTTGACTGACGGGCATCCCTACTTACGAAAAGCTCCGGCCACAAAATTTTGCTTCGACTTGCGGCCGGAGCTTCCACTTACGAATGGAAAAAGGCAGGGGGAAAGGGCGGGAAATTCAAACCGTTGGTGGTGGCTGCTTCTTCGCCCCAATGGTTAGGAAAAGGGAGGCTCAGCCTCCCGGACTTCCACCGCTGCTGCCACCGCCGCTGGGAGGCAAGCCGCTGGACCATCCCGGCTGGACTCAGCCTCCCAGGGTTCCCCACTGCCGCGACCGTCGCCACCGGAGGCCTCACCAGCTTCCTCGCCACCGTCAGAGGCCTCCTGGGGTTCCCCGCTGTCAGAGGCCTCACCAGCTTCTCCGCCACCGTAGGAGTCCTCCCGGGGTTCTCCGCCGCTGCAACTGCCGCCTCCAGAGACCTCCGATGGCCGGGAGGCCTCTGACAGCGGTAGTCACAGCGTTGGGGAACCCCAGAAAGCCTCCAACAGTGGCGGGGAAGCCAGTGAGGCCTCCGACAGCAGTGGGGAAACCAGTGAGGCCTCCAGCTTCGGACTGGTAAGGTGCTGCTTTTTCCTTTTTAAAAAGTTGTTCTGGGTGGGTAAGTGTGGGCTGGGGGGGTTGTTTCTATGTTGTTTTGTTTTTTGGTGACTTTTTTTTTGGCAGTCCCAGCGTGGGACTTGCTCCAATGTTTATTTTTGGATTTGTTTGTTTGTTTTTATTTTTTTGCATTCCCAGCATGGGACTTGCTCTGTTTATTTTCTTTTTCTTTCTTTCTTGGTATTTTTTTCTTTGGCCGGAACAGATTAATCGGTTTTCAATGCATTCCTATGGGAAATGGTGCTCTGACTTACAAACATTTTGAGTTACGGCCACAGTTCCAATATAGATTAATTTTGTAAGTCGAGGCACCAGTATACTGACTGACTGAGTGGGGATGGGGATGAAAAAATGAAGGATAGAAGGCGAATAGAATGAAATGGCTCAAATGTTTAATAGGAAGCACTCACAGTGCAATATTATGTTTCAGTTTCCTCTTATAACATCTATTTCTCATCACTTGCATTTTAGGTAAGAATGAGTTTCAGTGCAACACCTATCATGATTTCCATGTCCTGATGATGAAAAGAAGAATATTGTGCGATTATTTTTTTCATCATTCTTGGAGGATGGATGGAGATTCCTTCACATCTACTCTTTTCTCTTCAGGAAACATTCCCTCAGAAACTGGCATTACCCTGGAACAGAAAACAACTTTTGTCTTTGTGATTTTATTATTCATTTTTCTTGGCATCCTCATTGTCCGGTGTTTCCGAATTCTCCTAGACCCATACAGGAGTATGCCAACTTCCACCTGGACAGATGGACTTGACGGGCTAGAGAAAGGCCAGTTTGAGTATGCTCTGGCTTAGAGTCAAAGATATAGCAACGAGATCTGGAAAGTATCTCTGACATATTGAAGCCACACCTCATTTGGGCAGAGGCAAAACTATTTCAGAAATGATTAAACTGAAATAGTTGTAAGGCGTGCTTTACGTTTGATGGGAAGTGATCGGTTTTCTCTGGACAAAACTGATGTTTGTTTTTAGTTAGCAATGTCTGGTTTCAAAGTATAATGAAAATCTGCACACATACATGCACGTACACATACAATATATTCATATGGTTCATGGTTATGCCGTTGACCTGGGACTTGTCAGATCCTGGCTCTCATACCCACCCAGACATGAAGCTCATTGAGTGGCTTGGCTTAGCTCGTTTCGCTGTTGTGAAGATAAAATTGGGGGGGGGGCGGGGGGGAAAGCCACGTACAGTATATTGGTGTGAGTTCACCAAAGGAAAGGTGGGATATAAATATAACTATGAAACAAACAAACAAGCAAACAAAATACAACACTCAGGCCACACTCTGATTTGCAGCAGATGGAAACAGGCTTACCTCTGCATTCCTCCCTTCCCCCCCCCTTCATAATTGTAACGAGTATATTCATATTGAAAGGCAAGCATGGGATTTTTCTTTTGCAGATCGCATGTGGACATGTGGTAACATTTTCCAAGCATTGACAAAAATTCTTTCCATTCCCCTTTCTGCCCTTACCAGAGACTTAAAAGGTTCTCAGCAAAGTTAATTAAAGCTGGATAGTGTCTGGTGATTTCAGTGGGGAAATCCCACACTTTTATAGTATGCTTCTCATTATAAATCCATGACTACAATTATAAATATAAATAATGAGCTTTTCTTAGTGTGAGGGTAATGTATAATCTACTCTGTTTGAAACACTATGTGGATGTGGTAGTTTTTTTTTTTTAAGGAGCTGCACAGCAGCGGTTTTAATTTAGTTGTTTGAGCCTCATTTTTAAGAATACAAAGAAAAGGTAGCCATATAATCCATTAATAGAAACCAAAAAGTGCATACATATTCCAAATATTTTCCTACTCTCTCTGTTAGTGGGTCTCTTATAGAACACTGCCTTCAGGAATATGTTGGGATTTTTTGTAATTTTTATGTTAGCTAACAAAATGTCTCAGCTTTCATAATTTTTCATAACTTTTCACAGTTATGGTGGTCACTCACAGGTTGCCAAAATGAGGAAATACGGCACCAGAAAAAGATAACAAAATAAGATACTTTGGATAAAATGTGCATAGCCTAACCTGTGCATATTGATGCAACTACAGTGCACCTATAATTATTAGAATTAAAATAGAAACTATTTAAATAGAAAAAAACACAGTGATTGGAATACAAGTAATGTACATAGGGGGGAAATGTTATGTCCCGTCAAGATGTAATAGGGTTTGCAAGGTAAATGAGATATTTAAGGAGTGGTTTCCTCAGTTCCACACGCCCAGGGAGTTTCCATGGCTGAATGGGAATTCGAACCCAGTCCTCCTGAGTCCTAGTTCATCACTCTATCCACTACACCACACTGGGTATCAGAAATTTTTTTAAACTGTAATTTAAACAAAATACAATACACTTTGAGGAAGACTGTGTGCCTGCTTAGTTTGCCCTCTAGGTGCTAATAGTTAACGGGCAACATTAAGGCTTCTCCTCAGCATTGGACTCAGGACAACAAAGTGGGGAGGAAGTTCAGGGCCCCCTTGCAGAATGAGCAAGACAATGTCCAAAGGCAACAGGGCTGGCTTACCAGCTGCCGCCTCAGCCTCCTTATTGAATGTATGTAACTTGCACCTATGATACAGTCAAAACAACCTCACCTGCACATCACCTGAGGACAACCATCTCACAGGTGGTTCTCACACAGCTCTGCCCTTTGGAACCTTATTGCTGCTCTCTACCTGTTAGAGTGAGGTGGCTGGTTCTGTACTGCATAGGAACAAATGCTTTGAAGTGTTCTTTTGTAATAATTCTCTTGAGCATAACCAAAGTAGCTGATATAATGGTAAATAAATAAATAAAAGTATTAATTATAGTCTTTGTAGGTGTGTGTGTGTGTGTGTATGCATGCACGTGCGTGTGTGTGTGCGCGCGCGCGCAGGTGAGGAAGCTCTTAAGAACGCATGCACGTGCGTGTGTGTGTGTGCGCGCGCGCAGGTGAGGAAGCTCTTAAGATTGTCTCTTCAAATGTCAATGCAATGGAGCTTAGTACATTGTAAATGGATACAACCAGAGCCTGCAAAGTTACTTAAAAATGTAATTTATTACGAAACTTGATATAAAATCCACATCTCATAAGTAATTTGTTGTGATCTAAACACTATTAAATTACTCCATCGCACTATTTGGGGGAAAGAAACTAATTATTAGAAAGAGAATGGAATGCTACTGAAAATTTATCTTCAAAATGCCTTTTAAAAAGTAACTGAAATGTAACAAAGAATGTTGCTTGTTGCAGCCCTTGAAATAAGAAATAATGTTCATATTGATAAGATTACTTTAGAAATACGAAATGGTTGCACTCTCATTAAAAAGAAAAAAGAGAGATAAGGAGTTACAGATAATTTTGTTACTGGTAATTCATTATTTCCAAGCTCTTTATACAATATTCAGTAGATAGGCAGGCAATGTGTAAGCAATATATCACAGCAGTGGTGATGGTGGGGTGTCTGCAGGAAATCTTGGTGGGATACCGCATGTGTACAGTATTGTTTCTTTTGTAATCTGAGAATTATTGATACTATGACATCACCTCTTGCTCACTCATGAAATGAGTCTGCCTCCAAGCCCAGTTCAAAGTGCTGGCTTTCCTACAAAGATCTAAAGGACTTGACTGAGGCTATCTGAAGGGTCAAACGTCTTGATATGAGCCTCTGCAGGTTTTAAGATACTGTATTTCATTCTCTCAGTACCACTGCCTTCACATATATGTTGAATGGGTCAGGTGACCCTGTGGAATCCTGAGGACCAGTGGAGCAGATTCCCAGCCTCTAGAATTTGTCTGTCTGGTTGCTGGTGTAATTCCACTGAGTCCCAAACCAAGTCTATTCTAATATCCTATTTCTAAAAGCTGGAATAAATACGTCTCACGTCTTTTTTTTAAAGTGATAGTTCTATCCTGTCTGCAAAACTGGAACTTTTATAATTATAAGGCTGTGTGGTAGGCCGGGGCTCATAGAACCATCCAACCAAGATCAAAATACTACTGAGGTGAAAGGTAAATGAGGCCTAGATAAGCTATTACTCCACATGGCTTCACTATTAATAATGTGTTGTTTGAAGTGGGATGGGATCTGCAACAAAACATTGCAGTGTATAGCTATCTTACCCAATGCACACTGTACAAAAGCTGGGGTTGCTTCAGGCTCATAGATACTTCCCTTTTGTTTCTCAAAGGCTCCATTTTAGGTTCAATCCTGCTAACCCCAGTCAAGACTGGCATTTCAGAGATTGATATAGTTCAGAAATATTACTCTCAGGGGCTGTCTGTTCTTTTTCACAGAGTAAAGACAAAGAGAGTACTGTTAGAATGGAATATTCTAATAAAATATTCTGGTTTTTATCCATTTTCTTATATTTAAACATGCAGAAGCTCAGTAGGATAGTACTTGATCTCCGGAGAGGGGGTGCAGTCAAGCACACTTGTGCAGTCTTAGAGGGAGACTTGTTTCTGATACATCGATGCATCAGTAAATATTATTTATCTCTCTATATAAATCAAAGGGCTAAATTGCCCCTTGAAGCAAAAGGAAAAATAAACAGTATCATGGTGTAGCCAGCCATAATGATTCAAATAGGAGGAAATAAATTGGTACTGCTAAAAGTCCTTGGGACGTTCATCCTAGGATATAAACCATGTGACCACGATGTAGTACAACAGAGGTATGGAAAGTATCAGAAGAACTAGAAAACATTTCTCTCATGTGACCAGGGCCTAAGTGGAATAAATAATTTTATCCCAAGCAGGATGGCCGCTTACAAATCATGCGTCCCACCCACCGCCCAAAAGCAACCCATTTGCCTAAAATTACTTGTGATGATTTTTATCTAGAGTTCCATGTACAGATTCAAAATTTAAAAAAAATGATTTTTATGATTTATACCTGTATATAGAATTACAATGCATGTCAGCTGAGTAGAGAAGACTGTGACTAGGTGCCTTGAGTGTCTGCCCATCCAAGCGTCAGCTGAGGATAGGCAATGTCAAGGTCTCTGATGTCTCTCCTCCTGGATCTGTATCTTTGAATCTGACTTGGATTTGGCAGCTCTTCAAACAGAGGACTAGACTCCGACAAGGAGGCCACATGACTTGCCTAATCCAAAGGCAGCCAGATATAGTCAGTGCTCTCATCTTATCTTTAATAGAATAACAAGAAGTAACTGCCATGTTTCTCACAAACAAAGCTTTGACTGAACTATCTTTAAAAGGGGGGAGGGCTTCATTATCTCAACCCATATAATCTCTTGGGCAATAGGTGACTAACAGAAATGAACAATTTTTTGTTCCCCTATCCTGTCAATGGATTTTCCTCTTACCCCAGTCTTAACTCTCTCTGTCCTTTATGCCTTAACTTTCGCTGTCATTCAGCAGATAAACATAGGTATGTATCTTGGTATCCATTCAGTTTAGCCCAGCTTCTTGTCCATAGCGATGATATTCCATCCCTGAGACCTAAAACAAATCTGAATTATGTACACCCTTTGGCTATGGTATATGGAGCAGCAGCTAAGTCACTATTGTGATGCTTAATTCATCTTCCTGTTTTTTTCTCTGTATGCCAAGTTTTCAGAAGGAAAATCCATATTATAATTTCATTTATCACATAAATTGTAATAACATGATATCCATACATTTCTAAAATGACAAAGGCAAAACATTTTAATGGATTTATTGGCATGCTTCATGCAAGTGGTAATTTAAATTCAAAAGTACAGTACATTTAAATGTAAGGAAGAGCTATTTTTGCAGAAAGAAATATACATGGATTTACTTTTTACTGCAGTAAGGCTTCAACAAATCCCTACACTTCTGGCAGGCTTAGAGAGAAATTACATCTATCTGCATGACTTTTGCTATAGAGGAAAAGGCAAACATTTCATTGGTCACATTTGCACTGGAGTACAAACTAACAGTTTGCATGACAAATACTTGCAAAAGTAATACAGGAAATTCTTGCTGCCTTCTGCCTGTGTCACTGGCAGCATGTATATGCATGGGTTTTTGTTCT